GACTCCCCATCAGTAAAGCTGTCTGGACACACCCTTGTCACTAGTCCTTCCATCCCATAATGACCACAGTAACACGTCTCCCCCGACAACGCTGCCACATCTTACCTACAGCATACAAGAAAAATTTAATAATTTAATTATAGGTTTGGTTGTCTGATTACTTTTAAATGTCTCTCTCCCTCTCTCTCTCTCTCTCTCTCTCTCTCCCCCCTTCTCTCTCTCTCTCCCCCCTTCTCTCTCTCTCTCTCCCCTTCTCTCTCTCTCTCTCTCTCTCTCTCTCCCCCTTCTCTCTCTCTCTCTCTCCTCTTCTCTCTCTCTCTCTCTCCTTTTTTCTCTCTCTCCCTCTCGCGCTTTCTCACTCTCTCTCGCTCCCTTTGGCTGTGGTTTTGGAATGTGTAGTGGTGTTGCCTTCCAGATTCTGACTCAGCTGTGTGTGACTGTCTTTGTATTCCCTTCATACAGGGCTAAAGGCTGCTTAATGGAAAGGTAACTCAACCCACATCTTACTCACAGACAGTCTCCTATCCTGTCCTACCACTCAGCATTGGTGGGGGCTGTTTATATGTACAGTATCTATGCATATCAAGATACTGAAAGTCAAACCCTTTGTATTTGTTATATTTCTATCAAATATTATACCGTTGGGGGTTAGGGTAAGAGAGGGTTTTGAATTAAAAAAATACAAATACATATATTTGTTTTATTTTCTGTGGTGATATAAAAAGAAGAGTTGACTCTCTCTTACTGGCCATCCTGACAGCCCTGTAAGCAGGTAACGGGGACGAAGCCTCGTCTTACTGGCCATCCTGACAGCCCTGTAAGCAGGTAACGGGGACGAAGCCTCGTCTTACTGGCCATCCTGACAGCCCTGTAAGCAGGTAACGGGGACGAAGCCTCGACCATCCGGGGCTTTACACAGACTACTGGCAGAACTTCTGTTGGTGTAACACCCCACGAGTCACTGTGACGCTGTAGAATAAACCACATAAGATAACATTTTGTGTTTGATAAAATCGGTTTACTTTAATTTAAGCGGTTGCATAGCCTATTCAATTATATTAACATTATTTACATAAATTAATGTGATTTAAAACAACCTAGGCCTGTAACAACTGGTCGTTCATTGGTTGACAGTTTAGTTTAGAAAAACACCGTTAATAATAAACAGGCGTTAATAAGAAATTAACTATGTGATTTAATTAAGCTACTTTTTTCCCCCGTGTAGTAACCTGTCATTTATATTAATTATTGCCTCTATAGCCTATACAAAGGGTTCCCAACACTGGTCCTCAAGACTTAGTCGCTATATTTAGTGAGTTTTCAGACCCCTCTAGCGACACATTTTCAAAAAAGCGACTAGCGACTTTTTCTGGTGTTATTGGAAACTTTTGGAGACTCTTGATGTGAAAGCACATATCGTTCTTACTCTTCTCAACGAGCAGCGGGTGCTGTCGTGGGCCCCACCCCCGTCCCAAAGCACTCACAGGCGGCCCAGTTCTCGCGCATCAGTCCCTCCCAGCTGCAGTCAGCAGGAGATGTTCACCACTCTGTTTCCAGACTGCAAATGAATAGCGCATGCGGGAAGCCGCTGGCTGATCCCGCCCTGGCTTACATTCAGTGCGGGATGTAAATGTAGGGTGTTTTTTACTCACTTTTTGTCTCTCCCACGACATTACTCCTCTCTACTACAGCGTCCATCACAATTACATGCACATGGCCGATTATGCAAATTATGCGATTACGTCATTTAGCGACTTCTAGCGACTTTTAGGACAGCCAATAGCTACTTTCCTTACTGAGGAGTTGGCAACACTGCCCCCAACAGTACACATTTGTATTGTAACCCTGGATAAGCACACCTGAATCAACTAATCATAAAGCCCTCGATGAGTTGAATGAGGCGTGTTTGTCCAGGGCTACAACAAGAACGTGAACTGTTGGGGATACTGGAGGACCAGAGTTGGGAAACACTGGCCTATACAACAGTTCAGTTGACCTGTTTTTTTTTTAATTGTCTTAATGAAAGCTTCCAAAAATATCTACCTTTTCCTGAAATGGTTTCGATAACTCCGTTGACAAAAACGGCGAATACGCAAACGATAACTGTTTGTGTGGGTGCATAAAAAGTGCATTTTCCATTTATCTGCTTTCATGGGGTTAAGTCAGGCGGCCGGAATGCAGTTAAAGAAATACAGATGGCTTGGAGATGATGGATTGAAGAGGCTGTGTAGCTCAAGTGAAAGGTTATAGTGTTTTCAAACTAACAACCGATGAAGACAGGTAACAGGTGCAACAACCAACCCATGAGTGAGAAACAGAATACACACTGGCGTGAGAGAGAAAAAAGAGGAAGAACTGAAACAAAACGATTTCAAGAGGAAGACCGAAAGCATCGCTTTGTAAGATTAAACAATTATCTTCAACCGGGAGCAGATTGCATAGCACACACACTTACACACACACTTTTGTAATTAGCATATGGCTGTCAGTCAACTTTCACACAAGCGTCTAGACATAATTAAACGATATTGCCGACAGACATCTGCATGCCACACCTGGGTAGCAGGTTTGTTAAGGTCATTATGGTATTAATAAACCTATGAAGGATATTGGCTTTTAAGTTGCTATAACTGTTCTGTGTAAAAAATAAAATAAAAAATAGGTTCAAATCAAATCAAATCAAATTTTATTGGTCACATGCGCCGAATACAACAGGTGTAGACATTACAGTGAAATGCTTACTTACAGCCCTTAACCAACAGTGCATTTATTTTTAACAAAAAAAGTAAAAATAAAACAACAACAAAAAAAGTGTTGAGAAAAAAAGAGCAGAAGTAAAATAAAATAACAGTAGGGAGGCTATATATACAGGGGGTTACCGGTGCAGAGTCAATGTGCGGGGGCACCGGCTAGTTGAGAAGGCACCATGCAAAACACTGTGAAATGCAGATTGTAGGCGTTGTCCTCATGCACTCTGTTGCATGACGGGCTGTGCTTGTTGAGTACAGTAATTTTGTAAAAGTAACATGGTACATTCTTATGCACAGGCCAGAATCCGATGTAATGCCTTAAGCATATCATTCTGCAGCCTTTAACCCTGGCGAAGCGAGGCCTGAATAATAGAGGCCTACCTCTCCTGGGTTTTTATGAACTGCGAAGAACAAATCAAGTGAGGGTGATTGGCACACTCCTAGACACACACACCTGCCAAGATGCCGTGTGTGTATGTGTGTGTGTGTTTAATGAAGTGCTCGTGTGAATATTACATTATTTTTAGTTTTTATCAAACGCTAAGATTAATGGAAATAAATAAATAGACCATTAATACATGTACTCACACGCCCTGTATCGAATGTTTGAACAAAATGTATAATAAACAAATTGTCCTTCGATGTGGACAATCGTTCCAACACCCTCTTGAAAATCATGAAATGCGAAGTTGTTTTTTGTATCTTAAATAAATGTTAAGATTTGTAAATTAGTAGACAACCAGCCTATAAGTCTAAAAGAGAAGATGAATGACATGAGATCCATGTTGCATCCGCAGAATTGTAGCCTAACGTAGGCATGTAGTCCTCTGTTGCTCAGTTGGTAGATCGTTTGCAACGCCAGGATAGTGGGTTCAAATCCCGGGACTACCCATCCGTAAAATTTATGCACGGATGACTGTAAATGCTTTGGATAATTGGCATTTATTATTATTAGTATTATTATTAATCCAGAGTGTATAAGGGCTTTGGTTATTTTTGCTAAAAAAAAAATCTCTCCCATAAATGTTCTTAAAAATGCAACCATTATGTTAATTAACATTAGCCTGTCAAAATCAAAACTCCCATCACCAAAACAGATTGTTTCCAATTGGCCTGTATATTAATATTATATTATTTATTAATTAGCCTACATTATTTAGTGAGATTGTAAAATAAAAAATAAATATGTTACTGTTCATTTGGACAGACTTTATTCATTCTTAATGAAGGCCCCGTGTAGCTCAGTTGGTAGAGCATGGCGCTTACAACGCCAGGGTTGTGGGTTCGTTTCCCACTGGGGGCCAGTATGAAAATGTATGCACTCACTAACTGTAAGTAGCTCTGGATAAGAGCGTCTGCTAAAATGTAAAATGTGTGCTTCATAGAGCTGGCATTGCGTTCTCTCTCTTGTCTGAGGGTCATGACTGCAGTGAACCTCTAAACCATTCCTGATTATACAGCCTTGTCGCACTCCACGGGCCATTTCATTTCTGCACGTGTTTGTCCAAATTTACATGGCATCCAACACAGCTGAGATCTCTTCATTCTATTCTATACCCAAGCGCAATAAAACAGTAAGGACAAATATTATGGCGGTCCTGTGGCTTATAGGCGAATAAGGCTCTTCGCCCATATGTGTCAATAGCATCACATCGGCCCATACAGTGGTTAGAAACACTCGCACACACACCAATCATATTTTTACCGTCAATGCAATCCCTAATTAAAGCTTGCCGTGGCCAGTAAACAAAGAGGGGAGGGTCGCAATGTGCGGCACAGCTGTTGGAGAAAGGAAACGTGAGACGGGAGGCGAGAGCGGCCACCAGGTGGTAGCAGAGTGCTGGTTACAACTGAAAGGGGTCTGTGCGATAGACTACAACAACCGCACAAAACTACACCTAAAGACAGCTCTCAACAACATTCCGTCTGTACGATCGAAAATGGCAAGAATATTTCTTAATAATAATCAGAATTAATTTGTTGACATCCAACTGAGTAGGCCTACAAGTTTATAAAGTGATATCCCGTAAATTAATCGAACGGAAGACATTCTATGAACGAAGAAGATGCATCTACAGGTCATCCTTCGCCCTCCTAGGAAACATTATTTTAAGGTGGAAATAAAACAGCAGAGTTCGTATCTAATATTGGGTTAATCTTTAATTTCACTGACCTGTTTGAACGATTTTTTTTCATGGTATTATCTTTATTTTATTTTTTATTATACCTGCATGCTGGATGATTGTGTTTCGATCACCATAAACGTGCAATCATATAACCTTTAAATATAAAACCCTCTGAATATTAACATAAAACACAAAACTAGGTGCATATACAATGGTTCAATGGTACTAGTAAATTACTTGTTTAACAAATTAATGATGAAGTTTTGTCATTCCTCTTCAAATGCTCACATAGGTCTACTCAGCTATGATCAATGCATATACACATTGAAACAAAGACAGAAAACATAATCAGTGCGATAATAAACGATAGTTTTATATAGTCTTCAGTCCTCATATTCATGGATGAGGGTGAAACGGTAAAATCGTAATCTCACATTCAGTGTCAGTAACGAGGGGATGCGAGCCCATATCTCCCCAGACCCTCAGACAGGCTGGTACTTCTCTACCTGCTCCAGCAGGGTCTCTGAGTAGCCGGGGGAGTAGTATCTACAGCATGAGGACAGAGGACACAACAAAGGGGTTGGGTTGGGGGTGAGGGAATGCCTGGTAGTAGAAACACACTAGATTCATCTGATGTTATAGCCAGTAAATTAGTAAATGACGTGGCTTGTGTGTGTGTACCTGACTATCTCCTCAGGGTAACAGCTGTTGATAGAGTTGATGTACTCCTGCAGGGCAGATCCAGGATCAGCCTTAATCTCCTGAACCTTCTTCAGGCCTCCGCTGGTCACAAACAGACGACGAGCGTTGCTGTCACGGGGCAGCACCTGGAGAGGGGGAGGGGAGAGGAGAGGGAGGGGAGAGGAGGGATACAGGGAATACAAGGCATTGGATTTCCTGGACTGTCTGAACTTCCGGGACTGTCTGAACCAAACCTTTGAGGCAGGTTTTCCGGACAGAGATTAAGCCTAATCTTGGACTTAATTGCACTTTTAAAACGAACTAATGAAAATATAATTTCTCAAAAACGGTTTAAATTGACCTAGACTGGATTTAAACAGTCTGATTTCCAGAACTAAAACATTATTAGGCTGTGATACCTAGTAGTGTGAAGAGGCTTATGTAAATAAGAGTTGACAAACACGCCCCCACCTTGCTGAACTGGCAGACGACGTGTTTGAGGATGTTGCTGGGAGCTTCGTAGAGCAGGGGCTCCAGAGCAGGCAGGTAGTTGCACTTCTGTAGGATACTCTTCAGAGCCTTCTTAGCCTGGGGGTGGGGTGGGGGTTGGGTGGGGGGGGGGGGTCAGGATTTAGGATGATACAGGATATGTTATGGTCCGTTTACTGTCTGCTGCACTTATAACCCTCAGAAATGTTCAGTAAGAGCTTCAGTAGCATCCTGTGCCTACTACACAGGCTTCTGGTAATAACAATGACCTATGACCCTACCTTGACCTGCAGGTCCTCGGAGCTGTCTGTGTCCATGTAGAGGGCCAGCAACTTGGGCAGGACGTTAGCCGTGGCAACGGCCCTGGCGTGCTCCGGGGTGTGGTGGCCAATCTGGCCAAACGCCCACGCTGTTGCCGCCTTGATATGTTCCTCTGGCTCCTCAGACAGACAGATGGCCAGCTGGGGCACCCCCTACAGGGCCGGAGGAGCAACAACAACCAGGGAGGACAGGAGAGAGGTTATGAAGGAGAGAGAGGTAGAAAAGGAGAGCACACAGCTTGGAGACAGTGGACACACAAACGCACACAGCTTGGAGACAGTCAACACACAAACGCACACAGCTTGGAGACAGTCAACACACAAACGCACACAGCTTGGAGACAGTAAACACACAAACGCACACAGCTTGGAGACAGTGGACACACAAACGCACACAGCTTGGAGACAGTGGACACACAAACGCACACAGCTTGGAGACAGTGGACACACAAACGCACACAGCTTGGAGACAGTGGACACACAAACGCACACAGCTTGGAGACAGTGGACACACAAACGCACACAGCTTGGAGACAGTGGACACACAAACGCACACAGCTTGGAGACAGTGGACACACAAACGCACACAGCTTGGAGACAGTGGACACACAAACGCACACAGCTTGGAGACAGTGGACACACAAACGCACACAGCTTGGAGACAGTGGACACACAAACGCACACAGCTTGGAGACAGTGGACACACAAACGCACACAGCTTGGAGACAGTGGACACACAAACGCACACAGCTTGGAGACAGTGGACACACAAACGCACACAGCTTGGAGACAGTGGACACACAAACGCACACAGCTTGGAGACAGTGGACACACAAACGCACACAGCTTGGAGACAGTGGACACACAAACGCACACAGCTTGGAGACAGTGGACACACAAACGCACACAGCTTGGAGACAGTGGACACACAAACGCACACAGCTTGGAGACAGTGACACACAAACGCACACAGCTTGGAGACAGTGGACACACAAACGCACACAGCTTGGAGACAGTGGACACACAAACGCACACAGCTTGGAGACAGTGCACACACAAACGCACACAGCTTGGAGACAGTGGACACACAAACGCACACAGCTTGGAGACAGTGCACACACAAACGCACACAGCTTGGAGACAGTGGACACACAAACGCACACAGCTTGGAGACAGTGGACACACAAACGCACACAGCTTGGAGACAGTCAACACACAAACGCACACACTTTGGAGACGATGCACAGTGCACACACCAGGGTTGGGGCCTTTTCTAAATTGAGTTGCGAATTGCTCTTGAAATTTCAATTAAATGATTGAATTTCAATTTAATTTGAATTGGCCACACCCCACCGGAAGCAATTCAAATGGCTTATTTATTCTACACATCACCATAGAAATCATGTATGGTTACCACTACCATGTAGCATGAGGTTGAAACATTTCATTTTTTTAAAGCTCATTCTCCTAAAACTATTTTTAAATAATTACAGTGGTCTTGAAATGTGCTAAGATCATGTTATGGGTTGTCTATAATAATTCATAATTCCCTTAATTTTATAAATATCAGAAGAAGAAAAAATCCCCAGAATGCATTAGATCAAACACTGCAGTATGAAATGGAACATTTCACCTGTTGTATTCGGCGCATGTGACAAATACAATTTGATTTGAACAATCTAACAAGATTCCCTAAAAACACGCCACTTCGATACAACTACGACCAGAAGTGACTTTTTCATAGCTGGTTAGGAGAACTTACGCAGCAGGTTAGGAGAATTAACGTAGCTGGTTAGGAGAATTAGGTTAAGGTTAGGAAAAGAGTTAAGGTTAGCGAAAATGCTCTCCTAACCAGCTACGAAAAGTCACTTCCGGTCGTAGCAGTATTGAAGAGGGGTGTTTTTAGGGAGTCCCCAATCTAACATCTCATGACAAAGAAAAGCACTGTTTGACATCTTATAGTTATAATCAAACTAATATTTGAAATGGTATGTGTATTCTTTGCGTTAATGAGTGGCATATCCTTTTGATAAAATATTTGTCAAATTAATGAGACTTTCATGTTTCACATCTCAGTTGAATTGCTTTGAATTCAATTATACTTCCTTCAATTCAAATTCGATTCAAATTCTGCTTCCTGTGGGGTGTGGCCAATTCAAATTTAATTCAAATTCATTGTTTGAATTTAATTAAATTCCGAAATTCTGAATTGACCCCAACCCTGGCACACACACATACCTTAGAGACGATGACGGCCATGGCAAGGTTTTCAGAGTGAGCAGCCACATATCCAAGCATCATGATCCCTGGCAACCGCACATTACCACGGCAATCACCCAGGTAGTCAATCACCGCCGCCACACCACCCGTGTTCACGATCATCTGAGACAGCTGTACACATACACACACATTCAGGCGAGGGTAGGGGCACATGTGAGAATATGGTAGGGAGTTAGGGAGTTTGGTACCCCTAGTGTGTGTTTGGTGTAGGTGAGTGTGTGTTCTGATGTGTGGTGTGTGTAGTGTCTGTGTACCTCTGATGTTTGGTGTGTGTGGGTGTACCTCAGGTGTGTGTTTGGTGATCTCTCTCATCAGCGTGGTGACGTTCTTCCTGACGTACTCGTCGGGGTCTCGGAGGCAGGCCAGGACAGCAGGGAAGATCTCTGCCTCCACCACCATCTCGGCCAGGTCCACTGAGTGCTTACTGATCTGACTCAGCGCAGAGAACACCTGCCTCTGAATGGAAGGAGGGGGGGGGGGGGGGGGGGGACAGGGGAGAGGAAGTGAAGAAGGGGAGTGAGGAAAGAGAGTGGACTGTAATGTCTAATCTAACCTCATCTATGTGTGTTTATATTGACAACATAATGACTGTGTCAACCTGGGTAAGCCTTATTTTGTTTCAATGTTCCTGCCCCCTCACCTTCAGCTTGGCGTCGGGGTTGAGGATCATCTGGGCCAGGTGTGCGATGGCGCCAGTGTCGACCACAGTCTGAGCCAGCTCAGGTGAGTGCTTGGCGATGTCGCTGAGGGCCGAGGCAGCGATGCGTTTCAGGGCCACCTCTGGTTCCTGGATACACAGCACCAGCAGAGGAACGGCTCCTGCATCCACTACCTCCTGAGACAGGTCTACATACAGAGAAGAGAGGGGTGTTAGTGTGTATGTGTGGTGTGTGTGTCCGTACGTGAGTTGCTTGTGTGTGTGTGTCAGGGGTTGGAACCAAAATGATTTTCCAATCGTTTCGTTCTGAACAGAACCAATATTTTTTTTGTTCCGTTCAACTGTTCCGACCAGCAAAATAAAGTTCTGAACCGGGTCGAACCCCAAAAAAGTACTGGTTTATATTGTTCCTTTCTGTTCCTTTTTTATCCTGTAAAATCAAGTTTTTTACATTTAGCTCTTTACTTCACCAATCAGTGTGGATAGAGCAGGCAAGCTAGTTGTTTACATGCGTGATGGACAGACAAGTGTAGCCTATGGCGCAAGATGCGACTGACATTTTGCGGGTTGGGAGAAAGCGAGAGAGGGTTGAGGAGGAGGCTTGAAGCTCTGGGCATCTTGTTATGACATACATGATCTGAATTAGGTCCACATAATTATACCTTGGAGGAGTGGCTTCTATGGAGGAACTTTAAATGTCCTTTGAGCTAGCTAGCTAACAAGCTTGAGCTAGCTAGATAACAAGTTTGTGTGTGCAGAGTGGCACCAGAATTAAAAACACATCTTACCTTTTTGTAGTTAATAAATCCAACATTAAATGTTATTAATAAGCCTATAGTATCCTTAACTAGCATTGAAAAAGTTAATCCATTCTTCTCTAGCTAATAAAAATCTCTCTCCCTATCTTCTGAATCACGATTGTAACGTCAGTACAGTAGCCTATGGGGGGAGGGGCAGGTAGCCTAAACACGCACACACACTGGTAAAGATTTTTAGCTTGCAGGCAGACACTGGAATAAGTTTCTAAGTGTCAGGGTGAAGGACTTGCATAGGTGCTTTGTTCTGTTCCCTGAACCGGTTCAAACCCCTGGTCTGTGTATACTATGTCCTTACGTGCGTTGTGGCGTGCAATGTATCCCAGAGCCCAGGCGGCAGCCTCCTTGACGTCAGGGTCAAACTCCTCCAGAGAGATGACCAGAGCGTCCAACGCTCCACAGTCCACCACGGCCTGGGCCAGAGCAGGGCTGTGCTTGGCCACCGCACGCAGGACAAACGCAGCTGCCTTCTTATAGAACCTCTACACATGCACACACGCAGATGGGAGGAAAAAACGTTTAATACACATTTAGCAGATGCTCTTAAAGCTGCAATATGTAACTTTTTGGGCGACCTGACCAAATTCACATAGAAATGTGAGTTGTAGATTTGTCACGCATTGAAAGCTGGTCTAAGAAGCGATAGAGCTGCTCTATATGCACTATTTCTATGCTTCTCTTTCTTAAAGATGCACTATGCAGAAATAGCTGTGGCATTTCCTGGTTGCTAAAATTCTTATAGTTCGCCTTTTTTTTGGTTATTGAAAATATATTTCACAGCAGTTTAGATGGTACAATGATTCTCTGCTTGTTTTGTCACATAAACTGAAATTAGGCGAACTATTAGAATTTTAGCAATCAGAAAATGGCGGAGCGATTTCTGCATATTGCACCTTTAAGCGAGTTTCCATTCAGAGCATTGACTATGCATGCAGACCCCTGTGAGAAGGCAGATAGAGATAGAGAGGCCCTGCTGTGGTGTGAAGGGTGCTTTAGCCTTTGGAGTGGCCCCCTGCCCAGGGTACAATGCCAACACACTCTCAGGGTCAGGGACACCATTCAGCAGGGTGAATGAGGGAGTGTATGTTGGTGTACACACACACACACACACACACACACACACACACACAGAGACAAACAGACACACACAGACATACGTTCTGCTCGGCCAGGGAGTAGACGAGCTGTGGGAGGATGTCTCCCTTGACGACGGCCTCTGCCAGGTCGTCATTGTAGTTGGCCAGTCTTCCCAGAGCCAGAGCAGCTGTCTGCTGGATGGTAGGAACCACATCTAGCAGTAATGGCCGCAGCAGGGACATCACACCTAGAGAGGGGGGACATGTAGGAATGGAATTCTGTCTTGTTATAAGTTATCGATAGAAATGTGATCAGCACATAAATGAAAGTCAGCTAAAATATAATATTGATTTGAAAAAATACATATATACAGAAATGGGTACCCAAGTCCCAATTTACCAGCATTTTGTAAAGTTTCAATGTTTTGCGGTCTTGTTGCAAGCTCAGCAATAGTCTGCACAAACTGTGTCCTTGATTTCTGATACTGCTCAAACACTAAAAGAGAGAAATGAACGATTCATTAGTATTAAAAAATGTCAACTGATGTTCTTTAGCTAAGTTTTGTCTGGCACTAACTTTACACTTGAGGTTAATTCAAAACAGCTTCGAAAACAGTCTTGAAAACGTGCAACTACGAATGATCGTACCTTGTAAAACCTGTCGTTGACTCATGATTACAAATTTGATAAAAAATAAAACGCAACTTTTCTTATGAATATGTAACTGCAACAATAATATTGTTGCTTGTTAGTTTTCCCTAAAACAGCAGCTGTTAACAGTGCGGTGCAGCGTCTGTCTCGGTCTTGCAGCCTCACGTTTAGGTTAGCTTGTTACTGTTGCCCTAGCGACAAACCGGAAGCAAAAGCAGGGGTTGTTCAGCGCTCGTGCCCCTCTAAAATTAGCTTTTTGGTCTTCATTTAATGTTAGTGTTAGGCATAAAGTTATCCGTGTGGTTAAGGTTAATGTTAGGGTTAGGTTTAAAATCACATTTTAAGAAGAGAATTGTTGAAATGGGAGAGGTTTATGACTCTGTGGGTATAGAACAATGACTCAATAGAAGCTAGTGATGACCCTTCTGTTTGTGCTTTCCCTTGTGTCGCTCCGGCAAAAATATATTGCCAAGTGAGAGAAGAAGACTTCTTTCTTTCTATATGTTGAAAGATGCAACATAGTGGTAGCTCACATGCGCTCGCACTTTTATGCACATAAAAAAAAGCTAATCATATCATAATTACAATGTTACTTTGAAGATTCGAATGGTTACACTAAAACGTTTGTAACAATGGAGCCACCATGGTGGGATAGCCTATCACCTCGTAGAGCAACATTGTTGCCCAGGTTTCTGCATTGAATAAATAGGCCTACAAGGCTGTACATTTATGCAATCATAGAAAGATAGGCTACATTTATTTTTCCTTTATTTTATAGCCAATCTATGTGATGACAGAAAGGGGCTGTGCCGCAACCGACATCAAACATAAGACTATAAGGTTTAAGCGACAGTTATGCTGAAATTAAGCGTTATGCTAATAGGAATGAACGTAAGGAATAATAGATAAGAGAAGGGAAATACTCAACCACATTGATGGTATGCGAAGCCTACATTATTACAGACCTGTCAGGCTAATGTGCACACCTCCAAAGTGTCTCACATATTATTAGACAAGTTAATGAAGCCAATGTTGTATCCTGTCGTCTACAACAGAAACCATACGTTTGAAACTTTTACATATTTATTTTATTTTACCAGGAATTAAAAACAATTTATATATGTAGGCAATATTTAATTGTTTTTAATAAAAAGCAACAGATGAAAAAGCAAAGTTGTTTCATGGCGACATATTTTAGCAGAATGTAAAAATAAACAATATTAGGCTAATGCATGGGCCTAATTTATGTCCACTTGGGAAATAATCCTTTGAAATGTAGCATGAATTATATATTATATATATATTTTGAGTAAATCAGTAAATCCAAATCTTGGTCAGATAAGGAATGAGTGGGGAAAGAGATTATAAAGAATTAGCCATGCAATCAATTAATAAATAAAAACAAAATAAAACAATGTTCACAAACACTGTTTTAAAATTGTGCTGTGCATAGGCCTATAATCAAAAAGGAAAATGTTTATAAGTAATTATAATCAATATCAAAATCGCCCTTTCCATTGCACAGATAAATTGTGTTTACATGGAATTTTCATTTATTGATGCTAATTAGATGTAAATAACTCGTAGCAATTTAGGCAATTTCCTAGTAGGGTCTGTATCTAATTATTTGACAAAGTAGGCAATTTTATCTGCAGTTACCATACCTATATGCCTATAGCTGAGTCATTAGGCCTAGACTTACTAAAACATACATTACATTCAGGAGCTCAATATGTAGGCCGGTAGATTTATAAAATAGGTTTATTGCAAACGTCGTATAAAAGGTTAAATTACATCGAAATATTTGTCAGATTTAAATGGAATGTTATCTGATTGAAGACGCTGGTTGAAGAGAAAGATAATTTACCTCAGGATAACATATCTGAGGCCTGTAGTTTAGTTTCATTGAGTTTATCTCAAAATAAAATCTAAGAACATGATCTTATCTTTTTTCGTTGTGGATGAACAGATGAAAATGATGAAAAATGCTTAAAGGGGCTGTGCAGTCAAAAACTGGATTTTCCTGTGTTTTATATATTTTTTCACACTTTGAGGTTGGAATAATACTTTGAAATTGTGAAAATTATGATGATACCCTTTTAGTGTAAGAGCTTTTTGAAAAGACCGCCTGATATTTCAGCTTGTTTTGCATGGGTGGAGTTTTGGCCTGCTTGATGACATCACCAGGCATTATAAGTTATTGTACAATGGGTGGGTCTCATTCTGGACGCTGATTGGTTAAAACCGCATTCCAGCCGGTGTCTATTCCACAAGTTACCACCGGCTAAATCTATGATGTGGAAATGCCTATTTACTCTGTTCCATCTCACTGCGTAATCCACTGTCTCATCAGCCCAGCCAGACAATTTATAAACTTGATCTCCACTGTAAAAAGCATCTAGACATCATCTCCCATTTATTTTAGACTAGCAATTGGTTTTCAATAGCAGAGATTTGTATAAAACTTGTGGTCTGTCTCTCTGACATTTGCAACATTGTTTCAATATTGAAATTCAATCTCCAGCTGTCCCATTGTAATGAACGTGTAGGGGTCGGGAGTCGGGACCAGACAGGCAGGCAGATTTTCTCAGCCAGTCGAAATCATGAATCATCATCATTTTTATGGACATACACAAAGACTTGTCAATAGAAAACAGGTAAAACGAAACAAAATACAGCTAGTTTTCAGTCTTTCCAGCTTCAGTTTGAAGTGATTGTGTTAGCTGTGTTGTTGGCTAGCCCCTCTGAACGACAGTGTCCTGATGAGAGCGCACATTTTCTATGCCAGGTGAAATCGCGCATCATTAGCTCATTCTTATAAAGGTATCCAAATAAATGTCACTAGAAAACAGCTTAAGCAAATGCAAATGCAGCTACTTTGCTGTTATTCTGGCTGCACTGTTTGACGTGACTGTAAATTAGCCGTAGTTGGCTAGCTAGCAAGGGAAAAGAACGTTGCCAGCAAGTATGGCAATAGAACATTTAGACGAACGACTGGGTTGCGTCCATAGATACAGAACAAAAAGTCTTAACGACTGGGTCACGTCTCTGGCAACCGAACAGATAGAACGAACGACCAGCCGGCTTGGGTAGCAACCCTAGATTTGTGTCAGGACTATATCTCATGGAAGGATGAAATAGTATGAATAAATCAATGAAAATAAAGTTTTTAATGAAAATATGTCAATCATTATTTGAATATGTTGGTAACCCGTTTCGAGTTTAACAACACTCGTGCCAATATATCGTCCAAACACCGGCTACTGGGGCATTATCACTTAAATAGACCAACAAAGATAGATTCAAACCTCTCTGCCAATAACAGCTAGTTTTCAGGTTACATATCCCTCCCATTAGGCTCCTCCAATTAGGTCCCTCACTCAAACCACTCCCAGACAGTCCTAGCAACATTTTTGCTTGAGAAATAGCTTTTTGCTTAGAAGCTATTCTTGTTGTGTCGTGTATTAGGATTATGCCTTTGTTAAATGTTTTAAGTGGAACCAGAGAGGACGTTAATTTTAGTATCAAGAGGGAATGTTTTAGTGTAACGCCACATACAACAGACAGGAAGTGTGTTGTAGACAGGGGAGACTGGTGATTGGCCAGAAGAGGGAGCATCTTTTTGCATTGTTTATAAGTAGGGGCTAAACGAAGAAGAAGGCAGAGCGGCCATTCTGAGGCGTCGCTCTCCGGGTGGGCATGTCACCTGTAACTTATGCTGAAAGCTTGTGATCTGAATAAACCTTATGATCAAAGTTCAGTATGAGCGGACTCCTTTGTTTATCAGCAATGATTGCCAGCACTTACGCGATACGACAGTTGCTTTTGACCTATTTAATTTAAAACAATCACAGTAAGGTACTTATTGAGATAAAAACAGCTGCATTGGACCTTTAAAAAATGTCAATGTCCATATTATCTGTCACCACAACCAAGATAGTCCTATGTGTTCGCCATAAGGGAGAGAGCTTGAAACCACTCAATGCCTATTCAAATTTAATGTACATTTCATAAAACCAACGGCCTTGAAAAACATAGCCTAACACATCACCACCATGGCACACTTTAAAGGCTAAAGCAACAAGCTCACCATAAACCTTGGCTCCTCCAGTGAAGGGTTGCGGGGTGCTCCATGCATTAATGCACTCCACTTGCCTATCACGCCAGTAGACCTATGGGCTACGTAAAACAAAACACCAGTTGCCTAATGCAGGCTACACAAAATAAAAACTTGCACACACCCAAAAGTTGTCTATTGCTCGAAATGTTCTAAGATTAAGTCACATCATGCCATCTGCGAGTCAACATGAGGCACATCAACGCCCCCAATCTGAATACCATGGCCTTTAGCTCACCACTGAATAAACTGTGGACAGACTCCCGAATATCCCTCAGCTCAGTAACAATATGAGATACATGTATCTGGGCATATAAAACTTAACGAATCGCATCTATTAATACTACAAACCCATCACAAAAGAGTTTGTAAAATGATTGAATAGGTTGTAAAATGATTGAATAGGACAGTCGTTTGATTGTGGCTTCAGACTACAGGCTGCGTAAACCACGACTTCGTCCTTTTGACCCTTATTTCCCGAACATTAACTTTGTTGTCTCTCTTCCACGAGCAAAATTGAATTGATCCAATTCGAACTTTTTAAATATTTATATTTTATTCAATACTTTTAATTTATTACATGTAACCTTATAAAAACGTCTTTATTTTGGGGGATAGATCAATCTTGTTTGAAGAGACACCAGTGTAAGCCTAATGAATGACACGTCCTTATAGCCTACGTGCAGCTAACGAAAATGACCTCGACATAAAATCGTATATTACAAAACTTTAAATTAGATGATAGTCAAACAAAGATAGGAAAATATTGGAATTTGAATAGTGAAATATTGGTTTATTCTATTCCATGATGGTCGACAAGCAATTGACAAAAAAAGATGACTTCGGTCTGAAATGCCCCTAAATAAATGTGTAGATTTCCTGCACTGAAAACCTGTAACTTTCTCGCAGCAATTTCTTTCACCCATTCATTTTATAATCCTTTATTATGCTACAGATATTGAATGCGATGGAAAATATCTTAGTCAATGATATTCTGGGCCTATTCAAAACAAACAAAACATGTATATTTGAGAGTAGTGGCCTCTTGTGAATGAAATTAAATCAATGCTGCACCAGGATGAGACATCTGTCCATCTTTTCAAAATGCCCTTGGTGGTCTGCTTTGTCTGCCAATTCGTATTATTTGAACAACAAAACAACGGATATTTAACTTAACAATGCATGAATGAAACCAAAATACTAAAATTCAAAGAGACTAAAATCTAGGGAAATTTGTCCAAATAGAACCATGACATATATTTTCAAATTGCATTCAAAGAGGGCACACACTGACACCACCAGATATCACAAAATAAAAACACCCCAGCGTCTTTAAGTGTAAAATGTTTTATTTAGATGTTTTTATACTGTGCAACAGTAACAATACAATAGTTGTCCATACAATAGAGCGATACACAGAACACAGGAGACATCAAAACATTTGTCATCGAGCATGAAATGAAGGGTGAGGGGGGCTGTTCAGGTCAAAGTATTTGACAATCGCTGATTAAATATGTATATATGTCGCTATATACGTGTGTGTGTGGACTTTCTGAACTGCTTGATGACTGCAAGGCTTCAGGGTGTGTCGAGGCTATAAGCAATTCGATTCCACTGCAGCTAAAAAAACATTTTTCGAGTATAGCCTAATAAAGCGTTGTAGGCTACATTTACGTAGATATTTCATATGTTTTCCCCTAAAATCATGGGCCTAACACTACAATAATTGTTTACACATTATAACGATTAATATCTCTGTGAAACGATTCCAAAAGCCAATCGAAAGAACGATGTAGAGGCAACCGTTTCAAATATTAGTAAAGCCTAGGAGGTTTCATCACCATGCTTTATCTGACGAAAATAGGCTAAAATACACACTTAAAATATTATCATAAAAAAAAA